AGCTGGAAACCACACGTATGAATGAGCAATAATGTAGCATCCCATCATCTCACTTTGAAAATAATGTATGCATTGCAACTAAAATTTTGTTCATACTGTACATGTACATGTACATGTATATTAATGTTTCCCATTTTAGAAAAGTAAAAAACTGAGGGGAAGGACGGAGTGGGGGGGCAGAAAAACAAATCACATTGAGGAAATGAGACTCTTTCTTCCATATAAAATCAAGAGATTCGGTGAACAAAAGGTAATTTCTATACAAGTTTGGGGGATTACCACACCTACAGTAGGTAACCTTTAGAGGTCAATCGTTGTTCCCCTGAAAGATGTGTACATTGTGTACATGTACATGAACATGTACTGTAACATTAGGCGGGCTCCAGTTTCTTACAATGGTACTTTACTATTTTGACAAAAGCTTTTAATAAAGGCATTTTTTAACCTTGTTTCCAGTTTTACAAATCTGAGATGCGTGGCCCAACGTGTTATCAATGTCTGTGATATGGTGTAATATTGAAGCCCTCAAAAAAATTGCGCTTCAAAATGATCATGAAGTGCCCTTAAAGTCTAAAAAGTAAAAATCTTTGAGTGATGATTTTACCATGTACAGGTACTCATTTTCCCCAATAGACTGTAGACCTAGTGTTATAAAAAAAACGTTCAGAAAAGGGTTTTTGAAATTTCAAATTCCAATCATAAATATCTTGATAATCAGACAGGCGATTGGCTTGTGAAAATCATGGGATTCCTAACAGACCTAAAGGTTTATAATTATGATTGCAGCATGAGCTAAATCCAGGATTTTGTTTAAAATCTGAGGCAAAGATACCCAATCCCTTCAAAACCCTACTTAGGCATGCTGCTTGTTCATTCACGAAAAATGCAACTTATGATGCGATTGACACAGCGATAATCTCCGAAAATATTTGATTGTATTAAAGTTGCAATCAAACACAACATACAAAATGATGTACATTGTACGTCATACTGAAAGTACACTGGAATACTGCACCATGGTGGTGAGTGTGCTGCAACTTCTTTTCTTTAAAATGAACCAGTACACTACAAAACATTGTTCGGGTATGATCGAGCCATTTCTTTATGTTGGATACAGCAAACAATTGTTCTCGCCTACTGCCTTGCTCAATGTTGAACTTTACAGGCCTGCACTGTACGCATGTGATGTAATGTACACGTTTGTACATTTGGGCTACCTACATGTAGCGCTACTGACTGACTGGTGAAGCATAATGTTTATTTAGTGGTGTAGCCTACATAATTTAAACACTTGTATCACTAAAAGAGCATCAATCCGGCAAAATGATAAAAGACCTGGCACTGCAAAATCCTACACTCAGTCAGTGATTGTAAAATCTAGTGACAAAACCAGGAAGTGCCTACTCAATATTAAACTATGCAGAGTTCAAAATACACAGATAATGCATGGCTATGGGTATGTTCATGCACATGTAGTATGTATCAATTCAGTTCTCTGATAATTTCCCTCTGGTACTGAACATGTAGTATCTGTATGATACAGATGCGGAGTACAGTAAAGCTTGCAGTTGGTCAAATGGTTGTGTAACATTCATGTACACATGTACAATGTAGGCCCTAGTGCCCGCCCTACAAAGTACAGACTGAAATTAACAACCATGTACACTGTACATCCTGTACTTGTACAAAGTAGGTCAAGCGTGTAAAAATATAGCGGTTGATTGGTTTGTTTTGAGTTGACAGAAAATATGGAGGGGGAGGGTTAAAAAATATGTAGCAATATCCTGGCACAGACAGGTCTCAACTCAAATACCTATACAACTAGGGCCCTTGGTGATTTCACCCCTTAAAGACTGTCAAAACTACTGGGCCAGAAGGGATTAGACCACACAGCGAGGTCACTGACAGGTGGCTACATGTATCTCATTAACGCTGCTCTCAACTAACATAAGAAAAAGAGAATCATGGGGGACCAACAGGCACCCATTGGGGAAGTTTTCTATATAGAGGGAGCAAGTAGCTACAAGTAGGACAGTGTGCCTTTAAATGTTGAACCTAATGAAATTGACTCTATAGGCCCATTCTCACAGCCCAACAACTACATGTATTTAGAAAAAAAACATTGTTGTTTGATGACAGAACATTTGTAACTGCTCGGAACATAAGTTCTGACCAGTGACTAGTGGATTCTGTGACTCCATTCTAAACATTCCCGACCTTCATACTTGTGAAATGCAGTCTCATGCATCAATGCCAGTTCAGTGTTGTTTCTATTATTCTTCAGGAATGGTGTCAGCAAAGGGGTTCTATTCATATGCCGATCTCATGACCCGATACAAAAGAAATTTGATCACATCCAGTTGCATATCATAAGTTCCTTTATAAAGTGAAACCCAAAAATGTAGGGCTGGTAAATATTAAACTTTGCTTGTGCTTGGTATTCACATTTTTGTAACAACATACTGTACTGTACACCGAAGGAGAGGAAAGTGACAAAGAATAACAGAAAAAAATATGAAACATCCACATATTTTTAGAGTAACAGAAAAACTATGTAACATTCACATATTTTTTTAGGGAAAAAAAGAATTCTGGTTAATTGTAACATACATGTTAAAGATTCAAACAAAATGTTTTTTACAACTACATGTAATAAGTAGTGAGTGTGTCAAGTTATGATTGCAGTATAATTACAACCCATTTCTATTTTAATTTCAATCCAGTTGATGACAATATGAAACATGACACAGAAAGTCAGAAGGAGCAAGCCTACTGTACTACATTTGTACATGTATGTACAGGGAATGTGTTTTGCTGAGACTACATACATGTACATTACACAGCGGGAGAATTAGTGAACAGCAATGCGACACTTTCTTCTTATCAACGAGAACTGTCAGCTGCATAGAAAGCGGATATGAAAGTAGTGCCAATAATAACAAAACATTCACTCTCACTGCTATTATGCACAAGACACTTGGGTTTTAAATGTGACAAGGACAACTACTTTAATAGCATTCACTTGAATATATTCCTTGTCAGCCAGACAAAGATAAACTAGCTCTAATTGCATTTATTATGCAAATTTTCTTTCTTCTTCTTCTTCTTCTTTTCCAACTCCTCCTCCTCCTTTTCTTCCTCCTCTTCCAACTCTTCCTTTTCTTACTCCTCCTCCCCTCCCCCTCCCCCCCCCCCCCCACACACTGTCTCTCTCTCTCTCCCTCTCTCTCTCTCTCTCTCTCTCTCCCTCCTTCTTCCTCCCTCCTCCCTCCTCCCTCCTCCCTCCCCCTCCTCCCTCCTCCTTCCTCCTCTGTACGGAAGAGTGATTAACTTGAGGACTTGCGAATTGCAATCAATCACATTTTTTATGAGATAGGGCCCTGGACGGATACTACAAAAGTTGTATGAACAAGAATGATCCCGTTAATTCTTGTACATATATTTCATATAAGGGCTGTGATTTCTGTGAAGAAATTGCATAACTGTAACACTAAAAATAACCTGCTGTAGTGAATAAAACAACAGTTTTCTCTTTTTGTTTTCTTCAAAGAAAATCAAGTCACAGCAACAGAATCTGGGCTACAAAATGTAACTCAGCATTATGGAGTCTTAGGATTAGCCTACAAAGTTAGGGGCAACTCAGACTCTGTGAAAAATCTTGGATGAATTGATCACGAATAGTGGGACCTGGGTGAATTTTCATATAGTGTACACATACAGTGTACATGTTCATCTTTCAGAACATGTACATGTACATGTATGTACCAGTACCAGTGCTGTATTATTTGATGATAGGAATGTGTAAAATATTTACCGGTAGTAAAAGAAATGTTAAACATTTCATCAGGAGGGGCGCTGGGCCGAAAATGAGGATATTCCGCATGTACGAAGATATCCTGGTAGACACGGGCAAAATGCATACTATAGTAAGAAATAAGGATCGCACGCATATTCGCGGACCTATTTTTTCCAGCGCTCTGTGGGTTTTGGGTTCCCGAACCGCCCGCTGGCAATGCTAAAAACGAATTTCGCATAATAAAATATGCCCAGTTCACCGTCTACTTTTATGGGATGTCCGTCTCATTAAACGTGAAAGTGTCTGTACAAAGTCAATGTGAAATACATCAAGAAAATCATTCGGAATCTGTTTTTTTCGCATCGTAAACACGCGGATCGAAAATCTGAATCGTCAGCGAAAATGCAAACAATCCTTATTTTTGCGGACGCGTCTGTTCTCGTTAAAGAAGTCGATCCTCGTTTATGCGAACGATCCTTGTTCTCTTACCAGCGCCCCTACTGTTCATGAGGTGAAGTTCTAAAAACGAACGAACAATTCATGACCAATTAATGGTCCAGTGAGTACTAGAATCTATGCACTATTGCACTTCAACTCTTGAATTTGTTCTTTCTGAAGTTTCTCCAGCCAATGCCAAAGTCAGGTCATTACGTAAGCCAGGCAAAACAAAAGGTGAGACACAGCTTATGTCAATGCGCAAGACAGTTTTCCAGACTAGCCATCGTACGGCCAACCACCTTTTTTACATCATTTTGAAGGAAAAAAACAAGACTTTGACACTGACAGGTTTATAATAATTTTTCAAAGAGTTTCGTCTAGATATACAGCCTGGATGGGTATTGATATATTCAATATTGTGGTAGGGGCCTAGTCTACAAACAGTTATCAAACCAATATCATTATCAAAACAGACAAATTCACAAAATAGACAAAACCGAGGTAACCTAGATCTATCATCTAGATCTATCTCATTCTCATTTTCATTCATAATCATATGACATTAAACTAACAGGTTAGACTGATTCCTAATTCCTGAAAAAGGGCTCTCTTTTCCCTGGATTGATAGAGGAAAAATTAAACACACCAGGAAGTCGACAGACAGTCAGTGAACTGTGGTGTAGCACACAAGATCCACAAGGCACAACACACATTGCATGCCCACAATCACTGCACACAGTGCGCTGAACCCCATCCAAAATTTTACCTGTGAAGTTTGTGAACGTATGTTCGAGAGTTCTAAAGTGTCGATGGAGCCCGGTTTTATGTGGTTGAGCAAATGACACAGGATAACACCGTCCCGAAGAGTCTGTCCTAGATCGAAAACTTCGGCATCTTGATTCATAATCCTGTGATCGAATGGCAAAACGCCACATTCCACCAGCCATCTCGCACATAACCTCCATGATTCCATAGCCATTTTGTGAAAAGTGAAAACTTAGCCACTTTATCGCTGTGCCGACATAGTATTCTCTCACTTCCCTGTTCGAGGTTCTGAGTTTGCGCTGTTCCCCATTGCGGGACGGTTCCGCATGTTTCATGAGGGATTACTGTGCGTGTCACAATGTACTGTCAGCGCAGCGAAATACATGTATATCGGATGGTATGTATTTTGTGCGCGACGTGGGATATTATGTTGCACAACTATTGCAAAATAATGCAGGAAATGGGTTTTCTCATTTTTCTGACTTCAGAAAAAGATCAATAATACTATATTCATCACCAGGATGTTAATTGTCCCTAGGCGACAGTGATATTGATTCATAAAATGAACATTATTAATATCTTTCTCGCTTTTTTCCCCCTCTTCATTTTGTTACTAGTTCTTCTTCAACTCTTCTCTATGACTCTATACTCTCGATCTGCATAATTATGCCTCTGAAAGCTTTTTTTCTCAACCACTCTCCACAAAGACCTTATAAGGCCTAGATTTTTTTCTCGTTGTGTTTTCTTTGATATCATTCCCCCTTTTCATTCTCTCTATACCACCTCTCTGCCACACAAACGCACACAATTCACAAGCAAAGTTCCTTTCATTTAGCATATTCCCCTCCCCAATCCAAGAAGGAGGGGGTCACCCCGGGGCAGCGGCGGCGATCCCGGGGAGACGGGGGACCCCCCCCCCTCAATTTTTTTAGGGGGGGGGGTCGTCCCCCCTGAAAAATTGAAAAAGTGCAAAAAGAAAATGTATAGCAAATATTGACTAAAGACTGCAACACACTTGTAGACTCTGGCGGGGCCCACGAGTGCAGCGTTTAGACCATAAATAACAATGCAAAAACCTTTTATCGCTCAGTCGCTACCCTCCCACACATATCCTTTAAAATATACAAGTAAATATTGCAGAAAAGCTGTATTCCGTGATCCCCGTGATACCCACTAGCGTACTGATGGGGGGGGGGGGTTGCCTCCCCCAAATAAAATTCAAACGCGGTTTATTTCTAATTCGATACCAGTGACTTACAAATGTTGTTGAAATGATACGATTTTCCAAGATTTTTCCTCACATTTTTGTAAATTATACTTTTTTTTTATACTCGAGCCCCCCCCCCCCCCCCCCCACTTTTTTTGAAAAAGTATGTTAAAGAGACATAGAAAGAAAGACAAAATAGTGGCTTGCCAATGTCACAAATACTTTATATCAAAATAATTATGCTCATCTGACCTTAATAAAGTAAAGGCCTAAAACCCCTGAGATTTTGGGGGCTCCGCCCCTGGACCCCACGCCAATTAGTGTCCTTGCAGTGTATCAAAATTTATCAAAATAGTTCATCTGACTGCATGTAATTAACTGCTCTGCCCATCCACCCCCCATCCCCCAGCTTCCGGGGGTTCTAGACCCCACCAAAGGCCCCGTGGCCTAAAACCCCTGAACTTCCGGGGCTCCGCCTTTGACCCCCGCCTGGGCTTTGCACCTAGACCCCACGCCAACTTACGCTATACGCTCTGCCTGATCATAAATAATTTTGCCCCCCCCCCCCCTCCCGCACTTTGAAAAAACGTTACGCGGGGCCTGCATGTAAAACGTAAGAGTGGTGGTAATGCCGATTTTTATTCTGCCCCCCCCCCCCCAAGAAAAAGGTTTTTTTGCTCATTACGCCACTGGTAATACCAACGGAATACAGATTTTTTTTTTTCCTCGCATTTCGTCCCCCTGTAATACTATGCCTGTAGGTTAGCTAAAATAAAAAATGTGTGTAAAAAAAAATCACAAAGAGGGCGCTCTTCAAGTAAAGGCTTCGAAGCTCTTTAATCTGCTCGGAACCACTTCACAGGCCAAAGTTTTGTTTTTTTCTTCATGTTTCGGTTTTGTTTTTCTCTTTGTTTGTTTCTTTATGTTTGGATGAACAACAGGGAAGAAGGAGATAAGAGTAAACATATAAGTAATATTAATAGTGGTAGTAATTGTAATATGAATATATATAATATATATTATATTGTATTTCTCTCTACACGCATACCTTTAGATATCCTTCTGCCTCCCCTCCCTCCCCCTCTCCTCCTCCCCATCTCTCACCTCTCCCTTCCCCCTCTCCTCCTCCCCATCTCTCACCTCTCCCTTCCCCCTCTCCTCCTCCCCATCTCTCACCTCTCCCTTCCCCCTCTCCTCCTCCCCATCTCTCACCTCTCCCTTCCCCCTCTCCTCCTCCCCATCTCTCACCTCTCCCTTCCCCCTCTCCTCCTCCCCATCTCTCACCTCTCCCTTCCCCCCTCTCCTCCTCCCCATCTCTCACCTCTCCCCTTCCCCTATATCTCCCCCCGCTCTCTCTCTCTCTCTCTCTCTCTCTCTACATCTTTTTGTCTATCTGTTATCTCTATTCTTTGTCTTGCTTCTTCTTCTTTTTTCTAAATTATGCCATGTTTATTATTTTTCTTCTTCTTTTTCTTCGTCTTCTTCTTCTTCTTCTTCCTCTTCCTCTTCTTCTTCTTCTTCTTCTTCTTCTTCTTCTTCTTCTTCTTCTTCTTCTTCTTTTCTTCTTCTTCTCCTTCTTCTTCTTCTTCTTCTTCTTCTTCTTCTTCTTCTTCTTCTTCTTCTTCTTCTTTTTCCTCTCCATCATCTTCTTATTATCATTATTATTAATAGTATCGTTATTATAATTATTATAATTACTATAACCAGTCCAGCACTCGATTAAAAAAAAATATATGTATATATATACAATACAATACAATTATCGGGACCTTTTCTCGAACCCCGTTCAGTTTACCAACATTTCAAAAATAATGCCACCACGTAATATACGGCTACATCCCTTCCCTGAATTCGTATCCGGCCAAAATTTCCCCCACAACTGCTCAAAGAACAATTTTCACCCGGCCAACTACCTCCAGCCAAACTTGATGTTTGAATATGGTTGATTGAATGTTGTGTATGTTAGGGTTATTTTGATTATGATTATTAAAAAAACTAAAACAAAAAAAATGAAAGTGGCATTTTTTTATTATTAAAGGGATGACCCAAAAGTGAAGGATGGTGATTGTTGAGGTTAATATATGTTTCTGAACATACTGACGTTATAGGAATATAATGGTAATCAAAGCTCGATTTTTATTTTTATTTTGTTAATGGATGTGCATGGCGTTACAGGGATAATAACAAGAAAATAAAGGTATAACCATGATCATGAAAGTAAAATACAGGGATACCATTAAAATTGACAAAAAGAGAAGTCAATCGAATTTTAGAATTGAATTATTAACTTAATTGAATTTAAAATTAAAATTTGTGGGTGTATATAGTAAAAATTGACTGGTTGACAGTTTCGAGGGGCTATGCAAGAAGGTTCACTAAAACAACTCTACCGCCACTTACGTTGGGATTTTGCCAGTTGAGTCTCGCTTCTTTGAGTTACCTGTCAGTCAGACTCATTTCATACCTGAAGATCATGAACCGTACAGGTGTACATCTAATGTATTAACATGCATCGTTTCTCTGAACCCTTTGAACCCTCCAGCTTTTCAATTAGTCTACAGATACAGACTCGGTTTAGACACTTACACATCATTCTTTCAAGCCCAATTGATAGTTTAAGCCTGTTTGGCCCAACTGTGTTGGCTATAGCTGTCTCCCGGGCTGTCTCAAGATAATGACGGGAGCAGTTACAGCACAGGATCTACGGAGTTCAATCTTCATAGTCTTAAAATTTCAAACCCTCTAGTGCATGTTACCACTGACACAAGGGTCTGAACTTGAAAACTAGGCTCCTTCGCTTCCAATCAGCCCAATACACACACACACAGGGGAAAGAAGAAGAAAAGGGGAAATACATAAAGAAAGGAAATAAAAACCTCACCCCCTCCTCTCAGTCTCACCTGGTCGAGTGTTTGGCTGAATCTGAAGCGCACCTCCTGTACAAATCTTCGTCACCCCCTGAACAATGGCTCGGGTGTTAAGACGACCACTTCAACGCCACCGCTAATGGCTTCCCAATACCGCATTGATCCGCTAGCCAAACTTCTCAGGCATGTTCGTAATAATTCACTCATCGAATATTGGATTCCACCATCCGATGCTCCCTCCCATCTCCCTGGTTATACCTTACAACGTACAAGTAGTTGTTCCGTGTTCGCAGGGCTCTTCTCGCATCCAACGATCGAATTTGTAAGTGTTGGAATCTGCGTGAATGTACAATGACAGAAAAATAATTATACAAAAAGTTTAGTAGAATTTTGTTCAACGATGGCTTTTTGGTATAAGTAAACCTGAATCGAAAAAACCTTGTCTTTGTGTATTTAAGGTATTTCAGATTGGCTTTAAGAGGGCCATGGGCCTCAGGTGACCCCTACATCCGCCAGTATTATCTTTAATGAAATAGAAGGAACTATTTCAACGATGTTTTCGATTTAGAGCATACTTTCTTCACAAAAGTCATTCCAGTAACTCCCATCTCTGGCCATCGACATTGATGTTGTTTTAAAGGTTATTATTTAACCCGTTGACTCCTGGGACAGGGTAGCTCCTGTATTAAGCTTATGGAAATCAAACAATTCAGTTTGTCAAAAGGTTAACAATAATATGATATGACTTAATAACTCCAAAGCGTTTGGAGCAACAGAACAAATAGAAAATGAAACGTTTCATTTATCTCAAGGATTGTGTTTTACAAGTTTCTCAATGTCGTATATGTAATTTATTTGACGTAGAGAACAGCTAAATACTTATTTTGATTAAGAAGTAAGATCATATGTCAACAAACAATCCTCATTAATTTACATCTCTATGCTTGAAATTACCCGATATATTTTGTCAGAAAAAATGGACAAATATTAAACCACGAGAGAAGGCATCTAAAATTGATATAAATATGAAACAATAATATGCCATTGAGAAACAATAAAAGGTGAATTGCCACAAAATAAACTGGGAGCTATGGAATATAAAAAGGTGACTTAGATTGAATATAGATCATGATTAAAAAATGGAAATTGAAATTCGAAAAGAAAAGTGTTAGCAACAATGATTTTCTTTAAAAGATTAAATTGTGTCATCTTCCTTTCATTACAAAGAAAACAAA